TCTATACCTCAAAAGAAATCCCTGCACTCCTTATTTAGCTTATTCAAAATTTTATCCGGCATTTAAAACAAGACATAACATGGTTAGGCATACCTGTAAGATTTGAATTAGTGCGACTGTAACCATTAAATCCCCGTTCTAGGCAATTGATTGGGCTATCATATGTTGTAACCATGAACTCGATGGTTCTAAAATATCACGCTGGAACCGTCACAAATCGAGGCATGCAACAGGTGTTTTTAGTCCCTAAGGTGAATAAGAGATGATTGGTGGTAACATGGAAGTTCGATTCGCTGGTATTCGGCCAAAAATAGCTCGTCGGTCTTGGGGCACCAGAACCCTAACTGCTTAATCGAAAACGGCTAAGAATTTCTAGAAATCGATTTGAAGGTTAAATTGAGTGAGAGGATAGTTTGTTTCTGGTTTTTTTGTGGTCAGTTGTCGCTAGTTGAGTCACGGGGAGAAGAGCAAGAAGGAAGAGAAAAAGGAGAAGGAAAAAAAATTAGAAAGAAATACAATATGTATATGATGAGGTCTGAAGACATAATCAAAATTAGAGCAAAAATGCAAGGGTAAAATCAGGAGAAGACTGTGCTTATGAACAATAATTTAGTTGATTTTGGGTTTTAGTATATATTGAATTTCAATTTCTGAGCAAGGGAAACCAATTAAGATTATTGATCATAATTTAAACATTATTTATTGTCATGAAACTTACAATTAAAATATAGAAAGAAATGCTTACAAAAATGTTGTTCGCAACCTCGTTGCCATAATTGGCATGCGTGTCCCCCCAAACCTCGACCTTTGGGAAATGTAAACTAGTCGCCCATTGTTCCTCGACCCAGTAAGATAGGGGTCGAGAATCAAAGTGATGAAGGTATGACTTCTTCTCCAGGTTACCTTTATTTGCCGCCGATTTTTTATGTCAATTAAAAATATTAATTAAACTTAACTAAAAAAATATAAAATTGAACTAATATTGAAATATAAATAAAATTTAATTACATGAAATTTTGTACTCTGAAAATGAGTGCACAACCACTGCCATTCGCCCACCTTATCCACAAATTCCTAGGGTGGACTCGTAGGAGCTGCCTCATGTGACACACAAATCTAGTAGTACTTGTGTAACCATACTTCTATTCCTTACACTGCTCCCTCTACACCCGATTTATGTACTTGAGCCAAGCCTTGTTATGCTCATCCCACTCGAAGTTGGCATGAATTCCATAAAATAAAAAATAACCAAATAGTTTAGTTTTCTACCACATCAAATAAGTAAAGGATTTTTTTTTAAAAAAAAGTTATTGTATATTGACCAAAAGCTGTCGGTTCGCCTTGCACGAAACTTGAGGGCTATGCATCTTCCAGGAATCAACTGCCATGTGGCATTTGTTGCGGAAGATGGCACCCATGTCGTGAGTCAACAAACTTTTGACTTTGTCACTTGTTCAACAGTGACTGGGGAGGTATACAACTCGAATTCGCTTATGTGTAACTTTAGTGATCAAGTTGATCGCCAACAACCTACAAATCCCCCGATTTTTTTGGTCCTCGAGCCGATGGGGAGCTCTCTATCTCCCACCTCTTCCACGACCGTTGAATCGTTCTCTGCGCTAGGACTGCCTTGAGAAGGGTAGGATGAGGCTATGCCGGGGGCTGCCATATGCTTGTGACGTTTGTGACTATGAGGCCGCTTGGCAAATCATGCCATCTAGGTTAATGGCGCATAACTACTTGCACCGGGGGCCGACTTGGTAGTGGTTGTTTGGATCTCGCTGGTCTCCTAAGTGGCATTTGGGGTCAACCCCTCACTCTAAGCAGAGGCGAAGGCAGAGCTGCCAATAATGACCAGGCATGAAGACATCTATGAAAAAAAAATCATGATTTCTAAAATTTCCTACTATTTCTCATATTTCTAAAATTTTACTAAACTTAAAACATTTCCTACAAATTTCACAAATTTCCAAAAATTTCCTACAATATTTCAAATGTTTCTAAAATGTAAACATTTCCTACAAATTTCACAAATTTTCATAAATCTCCTACAAATTTCTCAAATTTAATTAATTTCCCACCACCATTGTATCCACCCTACCACCACCACCACACCCACCCCACCACCACCATACACCTCACTACCTCCTACTCCCACCCCACCACCACCATACCCACCCCACCACCGCTATCACCACTGTACTCACCCCACCCACATATCACAACGTATTTCCAAGTCAAATCACACCATAATCAATCACAATTTGAAATCAAATCCTAATATAATCAATCCACAAATCATAGAATAATCAAATCCTAACAATTTCAAATTAAAAATAAGAGATGATTGGTGTTTTTAGTCCCTAAAGTGAATAAGAGATGATTGGTGGTAACGTGGAAGTTCGATTCGCCAGTATTTGGCCAAAAACAGCTCGTCGGTCTTAGGGCACCAGAACCCTAACTGCTTAATCGAAAACAGCTAAGAATTTCTAGAAATCGATTTGAAGGTTAAATTGAGTGTGAGGATAGTTTGTTTCTGGTTTTTTTGTGGTCAGTCGTCGCTAGTTGAGTCATGAGGAGAAAAGCAAGAAGGAAGAGAAAAAGGAGAAGGAAAAAAAATTAGAAAGAAATACAGTATGTATATGATAAGGTTGAAGAAATAATCAGAATTAGAGCAAAAATGCAAGGGTAAAATCAGGAGAAGACTGTGCTTATGAACAATAATTTAGTTGATTTTGGGTTTTAGTATATATTGAATTTCAATTTCTGAGCAAGGGAAACCAATTAAGATTATTGATCATAATTTAAACATTATTTATTGTCATGAAACTTACAATTAAAATATAGAAAGAAATACTTACAAAAATGTTGTCTGCAACCTCGTTGCCATAATTGGCATGCGTCTCCCCCCAAACCTCGACCTTTGGGAAATGTGAACCAGTCGCCCACTGTTCCTCGACCCAGTAAGATAGGGGTCGAGAATCAAAGTGATGAAGGTATGACTTCTTCTCCAGGTTACCTTTATTTGTCGCCAATTTTTTATGTCAATTAAAAATATTAATTAAACTTAACTAAAAAAAATATAAAATTGAACTAATATTGAAATATAAATAAAATTTAATTACCTGAAATTTTGTACTTTGAAAATGAGTGCACAACCACTGCCATTCGCCCACCTTCTCCACAAATTCCTAGGGTGGACTTGTAGGAGCTGCCTCATGTGACACACAAATCTAGTAGTACTTGTGTAACTCATACTTCCGTTCCTTACACTGCTCCATCTACACCCGATTTATGTACTTGAGACAAGCCTTGTTATGCTCATCCCACTCGGAGTTGGCATGAATTCCATAAAATAAAAAATAAAAAATAACCAAATAGTTTAGTTTTCTACCACATCAAATAAGTAAAGGATTTTTTTTTAAAAAAAGTTATTGTATACTGACCAAAAGCTGTTGGTTCACCTTTCACGAACTTGGGGGCTATGCATCTTCCAGCAATCAACTGCCATGTGGCATTTGTTACGGAAGATGACACCCATGTCGTGAGTCAACAAACTTTTGACTTTGTCACTTGTTCAACGGTGACTAGGGAGGTATGCAACTCGAATTCGCTTATGTGTAACTTTAGTGATCAAGTTGATCGCCAACAACCTACAAATCCCCCGATTTTTTTGGTCCTCGGGCCGATGGGGAGCTCTCTATCTCCCACCTCTTCCACGGCCGCTGAATCGTTCTCTGCACTAGGACTACCTTGAGAAGGGTAGGATGAGGCTATGCCAGGGGTTGCCACATGCTTGTGGTGTTTGCGACTATGAGGCCACTTGGCAAATCATGCCATCTAGGTTAATGGCACATAACTACTCGCACCGGGGGCCGACTTGGCAGTGGCTGTTTGGATCTTGTTGGTCTCCTAAGTGGCCTTTGGGGTCAACCCCTCACTCTAAGCAGAGGCAAAGGCAGAGCTGCCAATAATGATCAGGCATGAAGACATCTATGAAAAAAAAAATCATGATTTCTAAAATTTCCTACTATTTCTCATATTTCTAAAATTTTACTAAACTTAAAACATTTCCTACAAATTTCACAAATTTCCAAAAATTTCCTACAATATTTCAAATGTTTCTAAAATGTAAACATTTCCTACAAATTTCACAAATTTTCATAAATCTCCTACAAATTTCTCTAATTAAATCAATTTCCCACCACCATTGTATCCACCCTACCACCACCACCACACCCACCCCACCACCACTATACACCTCACTACCTCCTACTCCCACCCCACCACCACCATACCCACCCCACCACCACTACCACCACTGTACTCACCCCACCCACATATCACAACGTATTTCCAAGTCAAATCACACCATAATCAATCACAATTTGAAATCAAATCCTAATATAATCAATCCACTAATCATAGAATAATCAAATCCTAACAATTTCAAATTAAAAATAATATAAAAGAGAGATTATATTCACACCCCAAATTACTTCCCTAACCTTCTTATTTTTTATTTTTATATTTTTTTGATATTTTAAACCCTACTAACACTTGGTAGAAAAATATGAAAAAATTAAAAAGGTATGAGAAAAGTAATTTGGAGTATTTGAATATAATCTCTCTAAATAAAATAAAAATAGGGAGAGAGAAACAAACTTATAGTTGAGAAATGGGAGACAGAGAGAGGGGAGGATTTGAGAGAGAGAGAGAGAGACAGACAGACAGAGGAGTTCAGAAAGAGAGAGGACACAGAGGGAGTGATAGCAGAGAGGCTTTGAGTGTTGCACGGCACGAGGAGGAAGAAAGAAGAAGGGTCTGAGGGTTATACATTTTAAATCTTTGCCTGGCGGACGGTTCCTAGAGTAAAAACTTTTAAATTTTGACACGTATTGAAAATCCTAAATTTTGGTGGGACAAAAACTAAGATCATCTCCAATCCAACCAAAGAATCAGAAGGTCCAAAATAATCCAACATATAACATGAAAATCATTTCTAACTAAGGAATAAGCCAAAAAACTCGTAGCCCCACGAGACAAAAAAATAGGAATCAGGCAAACCGGCTGGTCTAAAGAGCCAGCCAGCTAGCCCCAGGTTGACTTCCTCCATCTCCCAAACACGTTTCGTACAATGTGCATCTCCCCCACGAGTATAGCAAAACCTCTGTGTCTTGTGAAAGAGACCCGAAACAAGGCCGTATCGGCCGGCGCACGGGCTGACTGTGCCGCTGCTGGTGAAGACGATTCTGAAGATCTTGGATCGGGCGACGGAGTACGCGGCGGGAGAGCCGCTGTCGTTGTGCTACAATACCTCGCCGCTGAGGTTAGTTTGTTTTTTCATCTATGTGGGTTCTATTGTTTTTAGTTTTGGGTTTGATTTTGATTCTGCAATTTCATGTTTTTAGAATTTGGGTCGATCTAATTATGAGTATAATTTTCTCGGTTTAATCCGATTTCTGGATACAAATCGGTTTAGTAATGTGTTATTAGTTTTTGAAATTCAACATTTGTTCGTTATTGGTGGGTTTTGATTCCCTGGAGTTTGATTGGTTAAGATTTTCATGTTTATTGGCATTGTATATCTCGAACTTTTATGCGTTTGATCTGATTTTTTTCTTGTGAAATTTTGTTTAGGTGTTGGAGCTCGCTGGAAACGCTGCAAGGGACAACAAGAAGAACCGCATTATTCGTGGCCCGAGTGCCCTTTTGAAATTTCACTTTTTTTTTTCTGTTTCTCATTAATTTTCTTAATCTCTAATTTTCAGATTTTTAGTAGAAAAAAGAAAAAGAAAAAGGAAAGTAAAATTGAGGTTGTAGATTATTGGTATATAAAAATATTGCAATTTTTTGTGTATTTTGTATGTAAGCATTTTTGTTTAGATTATTGGTATATATAAATATTGTAATTTTCTGTTTGTCTCTCGGCGTGTGATTAGTTTGTTTTTGTTTTATTTGTGTTTATCTGGAATATGTAAATTCGAGGGTTGACAGGGAAGAAACGAGATTATTGGAGGGACGCGTTTGGCGATACGGACAGTAAACTTTGATACCAATAGACTCTCATTTTAGGACTTCAGACCCACCGTTAACAGGGAGGATCTTCATAAATTAAAATAATAAATTATATTTGGTCTTACCGTCCCTTGGCCCTTTGGGTTGAAGATTTTTTTTTGTCACAGGGCTATGTTTGGCCTATGGCCCTCTGGCCCCTCAGTTGGACACGGTAAGAAATATGGTCTGGCACTGTTCATTAAAATATTAATTTCTTTGAAGGTTATAAAGCTAAAACGAGCCCTCTGGCCCTCCTTCGGTTGGAGATGACCTAAGAGTTTGTCAAGCAAGGTCACCTAAAATCTTTAGTTTAGTAAAAAAGTTGGTGGGACATAGAGTTTGGCTAATGAAATTTTGGTTTTGTCGATTTACCTTTGTTATAGGGCGAATTTGAATTTTTGGAAAATTTTTGTGTGGATTTTCTTTTGCTTTGCCCGACGAACGTTAACTGCTAGCCGATAGAATTTAGAAAGTTGACCCAACAAAGACAAGTATTTCGTCTTTTGAACATTAAGTTCAAGTGGGTCAAAAAAATCATCGAATCTGATGGCCATGTCAATTTTGTGTGTGTTTTTACTCTCAATTTGGGCCTTGTAAAAATTAGCCAAGTTCAGAGTTAAAACGACTGTTAAATCGTGATTTTTTTGTTTCTAATCATCAAATGATTTCGTCCCTTTACCTATCTTCGAACGCTTTTTTGGGTATTTTTGGCATAGGAGATCTCAAAGTACATGCAAACATGTTTGACTGTTGGATAGTGGAACTAGTTTCGTAGAATACATGTCATGTCAAAAGAATGGATTGCAAAAACACTTCGAGTTTATTCTATACTTCTCTTAAGTAGAATGTAAGCTTTTGTTATATCCACTAGTTTAAATATTTTAAACTAATGATCGGGTTCATTATCGTATTATCTAGGTTGAGGATTGTATTTGTTAAAAAGCAACAAAATCAGAGTTAAAACAACCATTAAATCATGATTTTTCATTTCTAACCGTCGAATGATTTTGTCCCATTACCTAATCTTCAAACTTTTTTTTTGGGTGATTCTTATGGTAGGAGATCTTGAAGTATATGCAAACATGTTTGACGGTTGGATTGTGGAAACTAGTATCGTAGAATGCATCCCATCAAAAGAATGGTTACAAAGCACTTGGAATTTATTCTATACTTCTGTTTGTATAATACTTGACCAATTTCGAAACTACCGAGCACCGATCAACGTTATACCGTCAAGGACACAGAAGAGTTTCCCTCCAACCAGAAAGCCAATCACAGAGTGACACATGTCGACATCAGAAGCCAATCATAGCGCGACACGTGTTAACATCAGAAGCCAATCACAACACGACACATGTCAATGTCAGAACAAAGCTAGAACTCTATTCTACAAAAGGGGATCATTCTCCCAAAATATTTCCTAATGTCATTTGTACTAAATCATTCACTAGTACTTACTAAAGGAGAGCTTGAACCTATGTACTTGTATAAACCCTTCACAATTAATGAGAACTCCTTTACTCCGTGGACGTAGCCAATCTAGGTGAACCATGTACATCTTGTGTTTGCTTCCCTGCCTCTATCCATTTACATGCTTATCCACACTAGTGACTAGAGCAATCTAGCTAGGGTCACAAACTTGACACTTTCTGTTGTACCAAAGTCCTCACCGATTTTGTGCATCAACATTTGACGCCGTCTGTGAGAATCGACATGAAAAGCTATGTCAGTTCTCTTTCATTTTTTCATCAAACCTCACAACCTCCACCATAAATCTGCAGAAACCCAAGAACCAAACACCTGCACAGTCACTGCAAAACCCATGTCTTCCGTTCCAACTCTCGGTCACGGCGGCATCGATGGAAACACAATCACGGCCTCTCTCTCACTATCTCTCTCTTTGTCCGCAGTTGTTGAAGCTCGTAGATGCAACAATGGCAACGGGGTTGATACGAAGGGCCATAGCTTCTGCGACATCGTCGTTTTGTTACGTCTGTGTCCGAGCTATGACGTTGGAAGCCCAGGCCCAGCAGGTGGACCTCAAGGCCCAAGATAAAATGGACATCAAAACCTTCTCAATCTACTGGTGGAACTCGGACAACCCGAAGAAGCCGGAGCTTAAAGAGTATGAGATCGACCTCAAGGAGTGTGGGCCTATGGTGCTTGAATCCCTTATTAAGATCAAGAACGAGATGGACCCCACCCTCACCTTCCGGTGATCTTGCCGGGAAGGGATATACAACTCTTATGCCATGAACATTGACGGTTGCAACGGCCTGGCCTACTTGACGAAGATAGCACCGTCGGAGGCGGACGCCTCGATGATCACTCCGTTGCCGTACATTTTTGTGATCAAGGACCTGGTAGTGGATATGACGAACTTTTACAACCAGTATAAGAGCATCGAGCCGTGGCTGAAGCCGAAGAACCCGACGGCGGAGTTGAATGGGAATGAGATAAAGCAGAGCAAGAAGGATAGGGCGAAGCTGGATGGGATGTATGAGTGCATTCTATGCGCCTGCTGTAGCACATCCTGCCCTAGCTACTGGTGGAACCCTGAGTCTTACTTGGGCCCCGCCGCCTTGCTCTACGCCAATCACCGACGCGTCGAGGCTGATGGGTTCCCCAACCTCATGGATTCTAGTGTCTCCGTCAAATACCTCGGCCACCATGCCGGTAAATAAAAGATCGAGCATTCTCATGCTGCTAACATGTTTTACCTCTTCTTCGAATCCCGCACCAACAAGAAGGATCCTGTTGTTATTTGGTTGACTGGCGGTCCGGAGTGCAGCAGTGAATTGGTTGTATTTTATGAAAATGCCGCACCACCGTGGATCGGCCTACGAAACCCAGACGAAGGCGCTGCAAACTTGCCACGACCACTAGTGGAAAACCAACGAAGAGGATGAGTCTCATTCTAATTCATTAACTAGTTTATTATTTAATAATTTATTATTATTTTGTGTTGGTCTTGTTACTGTAGCGTTTGCTTTACATATGTGTGTATATTCTTTAACAGGAGACAACATCATGCATTTGCTTTACAACATTTGCTTTACAGTTACAATATTATATATATATATGATCTGTTTGCATATAGTACGGCACCTCACAATATATATGTATATACATACATATATAGTGCGTCCCCACTGGAAAAGTACCAACTTCTGCTTTTCCATTACTGCTATGTGTTTATTATGACATCAAATACTATCATTATTTTATTACTATTATGTTTGCAACCCGAGACCTTTATCAATATCATCATTTTGAAAAGGGAAACTGCTTTTTGAAAAGTACCAAATGGAAAAGCAGGAGTTGCTTTTTGACAAAAACAGTGGAAACGCCAGCACTATTGCCTAAATGAACGGGATGACATGTTATCATAATATGTTTTACATTATTATTAATGGTTTATCACATGACTATTTCCCATAACTCGTGGCATGGTCTGACCAAATTAGGTATCCTCATTATATTGATTATTTGAATGAAAATATATATATTTATATAATATATTGTGTGTCTCCCTACTGTCATTATATTAAGATTACATGATACAATAGTCACGTATGCTCAGAACGCTTTCTATCATATTTCATTAGTGACCTACATATTTAGGCAATTACTTATGCAATATTTATTCATTGCCTAGTGATACTGTGATGCCTTTAACTGTGTCACATATGAAACAAGTCATTTCACAATTTTCACATTATTATGACATTATACTTTTGCCAAACTCTGTGATTGATTTATTAATTATGCATTCATGCTTATACTATTATTTATTGACAGGTTTCCGTTGATCAACATTGTTACTGATCAACTTATAGATCGATGAGCCACATGCTTATAGTGACAAAGATTTAGTCTGAACGATGATCTCTTATCTGACCGAACACCCACTTGCTCGGACACTCGCTCATTTGGACATCTATGTGCTTGGACACCCTTGAGCTCGAACCCCGACTCACGGACCCAACTTGTGGACCCAACTCATAGACCCTACGGATGGCTCCGACTCAAAGACCCGACAAGCGGACCCGAGTCATGTCAAGAGTTAACTCATAATGAACGCACGCTGACGTCGAGTGCATACTCATAATGAAGAAAGCCACAAGCCGAGCCGCCTTGCAACGAGCACCGCCTCCAGCCGAGCAACCACATCGCCGAAAGCATTGCTTCTAGCAGAGCAGCCTCGCAACGTGTGCTACCTCTAGCTGAGTATTGCTTGACGTTAAGCACCGTCTCATGTCGAATACTAGTTCTAGACGACATGTAGTCACTTCGGCCAGTACATGGATTGGATTTGAAGTCTCCAACCAACGCATGGACCCATATACAAACCTAACAAGCGGATCCGAGTCATGTCGAGAATTAACTCATAATGAGCTCACACTGACATTGAGTGCATACTTGCGATGAAGAACGCCACAAGCCGAGCTGTCTCGCAACAGGCACCGCCTCCAGCCGAGCAACCTCGCAACGTGTGCTACCTCTAGCTGAGTATTGCTTGACGTTAAGCACCCTCTCATGTTGAGTACTAGTTCTAGACGACATCTATTCACTTTGGGACTCCTGTTATACAATATATTTGGCCTCAGTATTTGGGCTTCATTACTTAGCCTATGATTTATGTAAGAGGGGATGAAACCCTTATTCTATAAAAGGGCTCCCTCACACTCACTTAATGGGAGAGGAAAACATACAGAGGGGAAACACACAGAGGGGAAATGGGAGAGCAAACAAAATAGCAAAAAAAGCGAACACTGCCTCTATGGCCTCCATGTATATTTAGCATTCATTTACATAGTGAAACGGAATCAACACTAGTGTGGACGTAGCCTCAACTTGAGGT